CAAAGTTAAAAAAAGAATTATACAAGAAAAAGGGTTTTTTAACTTCTACTATGAAGTTATAAGTTAAATATGTAATTATTGTATTTTTTAATATTAATTAATATTAAAAAATATAATATTTATATTTTTAATATGTATTTTTAAGACATAAATTAAAAAAACCTAAGGAAAAAAAAGTTCTAAAAAGGTTTTCATATCAAGTTATAGAGCGATATCAGCACATAATCAAAAAAAGTTTATGGCACTCTCTTTAAAATAAAAGTTTAGAAATATTTGTGTATAAATTAATTTTAATTTATTAAATAATAGATCTGATATGTTTTACTAATTGTTAATTACTTTAAATAATCAATTTAAATAGTTAGTACTTTTTAAAATAAAATTAATAAATATGCATGGCTCCAACATAAAATTGTTTAGTCATAATTATATGGTGTGGATATTGTTATATACTAATTTGTTAAAGTCATGTAAATTATTTAGTTTTTATTTTAATTTAATTATTAAAAATAACTAGAAATAAATAATATAACTCATTTTTATTATTTAATATTTTAAAATTAATTTATAAATACATATTTCAAGAACTCATAATTAATTATTTTTAAAATTATAAATTAATAAAATATATTTAACAAAAAATATAATATAATTTTAATTAGATTATATTATATTATATTATTTATTAAATAAAATTAATTTTTTTTAATTTTATAATTTTTTAATAATATTTTATAAAAATTAAATTCTATCATTTATATTTTATAATATAATATAAATTATAAAGTAAAACTCACCGCATATAAAGAAACTATGTGGACATAACCGCTGGCATAATCATAGCATCTAGAGTGGTATTTCTACGGAGACGTAGAGTCAGAGAGATGTAGCTGCCTACCCCTAAGGCCGCTTAGGAAGGAGTATAAGTAGCCTCAGTCCCCTGCAGCTCTCCGTAATTGAAAAGTCCAATGATGACGGGTAGCAGATGAAAACAGTATTTTTACAATATATTTTTTTTAATAGGGGTTCTATCAAAAACCACAATCGCAACGAACGACCTCGAAGTTGTAGTGGTTTTGCCAGATCTTTTATTTGATAATTGAGGTCGTGCAAGATCTGAAATTGCATTTCCGGCCCTGAAGAGTTCAATCATTCACTCCATAAGACAAACAAATCTTCCTAGTCCCTACGTGGATTTTGGGTCCATTCAGACAATGCAATTTCTCCTCCGGTGTTCGAAAACTGCTCTTGGGAATTGCTCACCCTACCACTCAAACATAGTTATTGCTCAAGAAATGATA